CCTCATTCTACAACAGTGGCACCATGTAGCATTTGTCCCTTTGTGACTGAGATACCTCACTCAGCATAATGTCCTCCAGGGTCACCCATTTTGAATAATGCTGCATGAGTTCCTTGTTTTTCAATGCAGCATAGTATTCCATTGTCAAATGCTGCCTTTAAGAATCTTACCAGCTATTACTTTCTGAGGAGCCATACACTATAAATTTAAGTGTTGTATAAATCGTACATGATTAGGGGAATAGGAATTAACATTTCTTAAACGTCTGTTGTATTAAAGATAGTTTGCTCTCCTTTAAGTCTCTTCCAAGTTCTGTAACATAGATATTATTGACCTTGTTTGACAGCTGAAATCATTAGACTTAGAAAGTTTTAAACTCACAATGGGTAATACAGCTATTTTATGCTTGACTCTGGTTTTGAAATTCACTGGTTCTCATGACACTGAACTGCTGTGGTGAGATTTAAGAGCAAGAACCCCTTTTGGAATGGGGAGATCTGGAAAAAAATTCATAAAGAAGGCGAAATTCAAGATGAGTTTTAGGAAATGGATAGGATTTGTCCTTATATACAGCAATAGATATAAAAGTGGGGCTATGAAAAGGCAAAACAGATTCTAAATGGACCAGTTTGACTGGAACATATAGGTATCTGTTGCTATTTGTTTATTCATTCCTTCACCAGGTATCATTGAGCACCTGAGGATACACAGGTGAATAAAAATACAAGTGACTGGGCTAATGGGAGTAGGTGTGTCAGAGACAATAACTTTGGCACAGGATAGAGCAGGGTTTAGGGCTGTCATACATAGGGTTGCTATGAATTGCAGGCAACTTGAGGGCACATAACAACAACAACAACACCCCCCCCCCAAGAGTTTCCAGTGTAGTTGGAGAGAGATTATTGGGTAATCTGGGCTACATTTGAGGAATCAAAAGATGTTTAAGGAGTACAAAATTGGTTCTCTGTGTATGTATATACATGTGTGTGTGTGTGTGTGTGTGTGTGTGTGTGTGTGTGTGTGTGTAGAACTCAGAAAATTATATAGTAAAATCAAGTTTTGAGAAAAGGATGATGAGTTTGGTTTAAGGCAAGCAAGTTTTAAACTGTCTTTTAATAATTTGCCATAGGACTACAGTTCAGAGGAAAGGTCAGAGCAAAAGGCATTGGAGTAGTTGATCCTTAAGTGAAAGAATTCAGAGAGAAATGAGCAGAAGATCTTAGGCTTCAATCAAGGGAACATTGGGGACAATCATGTCCGGGGTTGAGAGGTGGCACTGTGAAGAAGAAGCTGTGAAGGACACTTAGAACTGGACCTCGAGGGGAGGAAGGGAGTCATCGATGTCAAGAGAGGAGAGAACACAGATAGAGTGATAAAGGATGATAAAAAGATTGAAGAAAGGCCGTTGGTTTGGCTGACACACCGTTGACATGCTTCCAGAGGACTAGTAGTGAAGTATTCACATAGACCATGATGTGTATTCACTGGTTGATGCCTTTGTTACTGGCATTTTATGCTCCCATTCAGTTAACTAATTTTTTGTTTAATTACTTTTGGACACATAGTTAGGAGGTGCAGGTGCTATCACATTTGGAACTTTTTGTTGATTCAGCCTGACTTGTCTCCTTATTGGGATTTGGATCTTTTCTAAATTATTTTACTTCAAGTAAGGTGCTCTTTTGAAGTTTCTAGCTGAAAATTCTAATTTTTACAGTAAGAAAAATGAATTAAGTAGTTACAGAAGGATGGATTTGGTAATGTAGGTTATGTCTCAAGATAAGATTGATGAGCTAAATACTTAGAATTTTC